TAGAGAGAGATACAGCGAGAGAGGGAACACAAGCAGGGGGAGTAGGAGAGGGAGAAGCAGGCCTCCCGCCGAGCAGGGAGCCCGATGCGGGGCTTGATCCCAGGACCCTGGGACCATGACCTGAGCCAAAGGCAGACGCTTAACCACTGAGCCACCCAGGCGCCCCCAGACTCAGTTCTTTTACCTACATAGATAAACTTGAAAAGGAAACAAGACACCATGTGAGAAAGTAGAAAGCCAGTCTTTTTTTAAATTATTTTTTCTTTAAATTTTTTATTGTTATGTTAATCACCATACATTACATCATTAGTTTTTGATGTAGTGTTCCATGATTCATTGTTTGTGCATAACACCCAGTGCTCCACGCACAACGTGCCCTCTTTAATACCCATCACCAGGCTAACCCATCCCCCTACCCTCCTCCCCTCTAGAACCCTCAGTTTGTTTTTCAGAGTCCATCGTCTCTCATGGTTCGTCTCCCCCTCCGACTTACTCCCCTTCATTCTTCCCCTCCTGCTATCTTCTTCTTTTTTTCTTAACATATATTGCATTATTTGTTTCAGAAGTACAGATCTGATTCAACAGTCTTGCACAATTCACAGCGCTCACCATAGCACATACCCTCCCCAATGTCTATCACCCAGCCACCCCATCCCTCCCACCCCCCAACACTCCAGCAACCCTCAGTTTGTTTCCTGAGATTAAGAATTCCCCATATCAGTGAGGTCATATGATACATGTCAGTAGAAAGCCAGTATTGTTCGTTATAAGCAGACACTGTAAAAATAAATATAATGAAAATAAACTATTAGTAAGTTATAACGCGGTGCCGGTCTCTACTGAGACTCTTCATCTGAAGCCTGTTCTCCCCACTTTGGTAGAAAGAGTGTTGGAGAGGGGGTAAGAGACAAGCCAGCATCATTTTGAGACTTTCTCTCTGCTCACTGGGGAATTGGGAGGGGAACGCCTCCCCACCCCCCCTTCCCTGGTCCCCCTGAGATCTCCTCAGCCACCACTGATGGCTCACATCCCAATTCCAAGGGGATGCATATGGCCCCGGATGCCCAGGCAGAGTGGGTATGAGCTGGCCTTCCAGAAGCAGATGTACCTGGAGCTCCAGCCCAGCTCCACTCTTTACCAGCCGAGTAACCAGGGACAAATCTGTCTTCTTCCAGCAAACCAGGGCTAGTGCTTATGAGGTTAAGACAAAATATATGAAAAACTCAGTGCTAGGGAGCCAGCTAGAGCTGGCCCAACTCCGCCCACCCTACACTCCGTGGATTCTGGAGTCCAGAGCCCTCTCTACTGGTTCTGCTGCTTGAAGAGAACAGTTCTCATCAGCCTGGGAGCAGAACTCTCCTCTGTTGGTTCCCATGAGAAATCGCTCGTGTCTGCAAGTGGATGAGTCCCGAGGAGGGTTAGGGAGACAGCAGAGGTCACAACCTGAGTAGACAGCATTCTCCCATCTCAGGGGCTCCGTTCCTCCCGCGCTGCCTGTGGGGTGAATCATTCAGCTCTCCCTAACTCCTACCCTCAGACACTCCACCTCACTCATACACGTCAGCCCTCCGTGGAAGGCAGCTGCACATTTTTAAAAAAATGTGCTTCTTAGTCCACACGCCAAGCGCCCGCTATAAACCCAAAGATCAATGTAATAAAGCCATTATTGGGAGTGATGACCTAATACCTAATACCCTCAACCTGAGTCATAGGCTCATGGGGCTGGAGATCATGTGACCCAAAAGGGAGACGGAGGTCCAGAAGGAAGCAGAGCATCAGGGCCAGAGCGGCAACTAACAGAAGTTTCATTAAGCCCCTTAAAAAAGCCAGTGTGTCTTCAGGGCTCTGCCTGCATTGTTTCTTTAATTCCCCAACAGAGGTAGATGCCATCATAATCTAAAGTGAGCCCATTGGCCAGGGACATTCGCAGTGTTAGCGTTAAAGCTCTCTCTCCTGGGAAGCCCTTCGGTGCCGGGCAAGCCAGAATGGCTGGTCATCCTGTTAGAATTCCATTTTTATGACGAGGACACTGAGGTGCGGAGGGGTGGGGTACGTTGCTGAAGGTCAGAAAGCTAGTGTGTGTGGAGCTGGGATCTGGACAGGGGTCCAAGTCTTGCAGTGCAGCGTCCCTGTCGTTCGGATGAAGTCTGGGGGCTTTCAGCTCACCTACACGGCGCCGCGTCATCTAGCTCCAGATACTCTTGTGCCAGGCTCCTTCCCACCCAGGACCAGGCCCACGCTGTTCCCTCAGCCTGGGATGCATTCCTCTCCCCGCTACCAGACGTCCTCCCACGGTTAACCCTACTCATGTTTCAGGTTTCAGACACAGCGACAGTGCCTCCGAGATGCCTTCCCTGGCCCCCCGGCAAGGTCAGAAACCACACCCCCTTACAGGTTCCCACTGCACCCTGCAGGTTTACCCAAACACACTCACCCAGGTCGTGCTCCACAGATGACCCTTGTCACTGCTCTGACTTGACTCTCTGTGCCTGAGGACCTCGCTCGCTTTGCTGTCCATGTGTCCTCACGCCTTGCACATGGTAGATGCTCCATCCAGATTTGTGGGAGAGAGAGACTGACTGCACGATAGAGTCTTCATCTGCCTCATCTCCAGTAGTCCTTCGCCTCTGCTCTCCTCTGACCAGTCAGGGACACCTACTTGCCAGTATCTAGGCTTCCAGTCTTAATGCCCATTTCTCTCTCTACTCTGCACCTCCATCGGGACCCGGCTGCCTGCATTCTCCCCTCCAGACAGGACCGAAGAAGAAAGTGAGTATCGTGTCCTTGAGATTACATTCTTGTAACCCTCTCTGGGCCTTGAAATTCCTTAAAAATATCTGGGAAAGGGTTGGTCCAGACCCTGGCATTTAGGCATTGGCTGGGGCGGGGGCGCAGTTGGTACAGACTCCACTGGAGAATCTCAGCTGTGGTGTGCTGGTGTGATGGTTAACAACTGCCTCTTGGGGGGCATGCGGTGGGAAAGGGAGCTTCTCTCCTCCTCTTCCGAGGTCAAGATTTGCCCACCTTTTAAATCCATGGCCTAGAATAAGGTCTGGGACACAGCTGGGCTACACAAATGTTCCTTGAAGGAAATGAATGTCCCCTACAACTGCTAATGCATAGTATCTTTGTTAATTGGAAGGAGTTGAAGAGAAATAGTAGTTGAGCATCTATCTCTGTTATTTTCACTAATATTATATTAGTGAATTCTCACAACAGCACTGTGAGCCGGATGGAGCCCAAGTTAGATGACAGGGTGCCCAAAATTGGCTGATCATCAGAAAGTTAAAAGAACAAAACAACCAAAACAAAACATGATTTTCTGTGTTCCACCCACAATTTTTGCATGAGAATACCAAAGGGTGGGCTCTAGGAATCTGTTCTTTCAAAAGGTTTCTCAGGTGATTTGATTCAGATGGTTTGAGAACCACTGAGCTAGAGCAGGAGTTGGCAAACTACAGCCTGGCCCACTTCCTGTTTTTTTTAAATAAAGTTTTATTGACACCTAATCATACACATTCCTTTATGCACCCTCTATAGCTGGGTTCTTGCTGCCAGAGCAGTTGAGTAGTCATGACTATGACTGCTGACCTGCAAAGCCTAAAATACCTACTATCTGGTCCTTTATGGAAGATGTTTGTTGGGGCACCTGGGTGGCTCAGTTGGTTAAGTGTCTGACTCTTTTTTTTTTTTTAAGATTTTATTTATTTATTTATTTATTTATTTGAGAGAGCGAGAAAGAGAGAGAGAGCACATGAGAGGGGGGAGGGTTAGAGGGAGAAGGAGACTCCCCACTGAGCAGGGAGCCGATGCGGGACTCGATCCTGGGACTCCAGGATCATGACCTGAGCCGAAGGCAGTCGCCCAACCAACTGAGCCACCCAGGCGCCCAAGTGTCTAACTCTTGATATCAGCGTCATGAGTTCAAGCCCCGTGTTGGGCTCCACAGTAGGCGTGGAGCCTAGTTAAAAAAAAAAAAAGAGAGAGAGAGAGAAGAAGATGTTTGCTGACCTCTGAGCCAGAGCAATGCCTCTCAGGGTCTTTGTTTAAAATTAGGATCTCATCTCAGATCTACCTAAAGAATCAGGACATCTGGGGTGGAGCTTCAGGCTCCTTGTTTGAAACAAGTTACCCAGGTGGTGACCCTTCAACACACTAAATCCACACATATGGACCCACCAACTTCAACTCAATAAGCAGATTGTTTCGGTGGGGGTCCATCATAATTTATGGGGGTGAAGTGGACAAAAAAGAAGTGGTACTTTTCCCTCAATCTTCAGTCTCAAGTCCCACTTCTACTCTCCCCTTGAGATGGAGAGGTGGTGATTCACTGGTACCCACCTGTGTTGGGACATTGTGTGGCTCTCCTAAACACCCTCATCCCTTCTTTCACTTATAGAGCAAGGTAATGATGTCCATGTTATTTTAAGATGGCTACCCTATGACTCTGAGATTGATAAGAATTGAATAAAATAAAAAAATTTTTTAAAAACGGTGCACAAGAAAACTGGTGAAATCAGAGTACATTCTATTGTCTGGGTACTGGTATTGTGCCAACGTCAATATACTGGTTTTGACAATGTACTGTGGTTATGTAAGATGCTGCCATTGGGAGAAGCTGAACGGCGGTCATGCAGGATCTCTCTGTACTATTTTTGCAATATTTTGTGAGTTTATAATTAGTATGCAATAAAAAGTTGAAAGTGATTTTAAGATTATTTAATGAAGGAATAATGGAGTGTCCTTGGGGTGGTGTTAATGTTATCTTACTCTCTTGCCTGCTCTTTTCCACATTTACTTCCTGACTTCTGGTTCTACCTGTCCTCCAGTGAAAAGTAAGTTATTTTTCCTTTTTTAGGGGTCACTGGGATGTTTGGGTGCTATGAAGTATAGGAAACAAGAGAAGGGGATCTTTGAATTGTTCTCTTCAATTTAGGGCTCAGGTTGAGAGAGACCCTCTGCTAAGGGAGGTCTCAATCTACTGCCCCCTGCTCCCACCTTTGCAGGAGGCTCAGGATGAGCTGTAGGGGTCCACCTGCCCCTTGAGGCTGCAGGGAAAATTGAGAGAGGGTGTCTGGACTCAGGTGGGTCTGAGGCTGCAGGTATGACTGGGTATGTGAGCACATATGCATATAAGGTCCCCGGATTTTATCAGATTCTCAAAAGCCAAGGACCACTGCCCCAGAATTCAAGGATGTATTGAGTTATGTGTAAGAGGTGCAGCCCATTCTTTCCTGAGCCTCAGGAGAGAAATTAGATAAAAATGGGTCAAGGGGATCCTTTGCTGACAATCTTTCCAATCTCTGGGGGAGGCATCCCCAAGGAAAATGGGCACCGCGGCTTCCGGCCACCTGGATAAATGCCTCTCCAAAAGGGAGAAGTATAGTAGAAGCAACCCATCCTGGCCCCCAGAGCATCCCATGAAATCTGGGGGATACCCTCCTTTTCCTCCTATGGGAGGGTCTCCTTGGGAACCATCAGGGTGGGGTGAGCTAAGAAGGAACCATTAACACCTTCCTGGTCCCCTCCTTCTGTTTCTGTCGGTGTCCAATGACCTCTACTGGATGTTCACCTCCTTGCCCCTCATCTCAACAGTACTGAAAAGTAAGATTCTTATTTCACGTTGCCCTCCCCCCCCATGCTTTGTTCCCTTTCTTATCTCTGCTAATGGGTCCATTCCTAGCCATGGATCATCTCTGGAGAAATTTCTTTAAAACCCAGGGACTACTTTCAAAAAGGTGGGGTGTCCTGTGGGAACCAACCTCCCTCCTCAGATCAGGGATCTGGGCAATGATACGGTGATGATGGTGATGATAATAACTAAAATCCATTAAGAATTTCCCAAGTGCTGGGCACTGGAGGCAGCACCTTTAAGGTATCATGCTCTGTACTCCCCCACAACATCTTCACAAAGTAGGCATTATTCGTCCCAAGTCTGCGAGGTGCCAACAACACAGGGACACTAAATACAAGGAGAAGGATGGTGGCTGCCTTCCCAGCCTAACCCTGATCCAATGCAAGTGCCTTCAGCCATTCGATTTCCCCTCTGACCCAGACAATGAGGCTTTGGCTGGTCTCCCCTGTTCACTGCCAAGTCCTAAATGATCACCACGCCCCCCCCGGGCTCTGCTCTCATGGGTTTCTGGTCTCCCCACCTTCTGATCTGCTGATTTGTTTCCTCCTTATGGCCTCGTCTCTCATGACCCCTTGGATTCAACACTCTGGACCTCGTCTGCCCCCGTGACCTTGCCTCCCGGACCACCCTTTTCTCTGCATGGGCAACATCAGAGATCCTAGGTAAGAATCTCACTCCATGCATGCTGTGGGGTTTTGGTGGGAAGCTTGTCTGGCAAGGATATTACTTCACACTCAGTATGTGCCGGGACTGTGCAGGGTTGTGGAAACCCCAAAGATGAACTCGACATGTTCGCACGTCTGCGTAAACTCGTCGTCTGTTGGGGGAGACCGTGGTTATAAGGCAAAGGGGATCAGTGTCCCAAGGGAGGTGGCAACTAGAAAAGGTACCTGGAATCCAGCAGGGCTTCCTGGAGGAGCAGTAGCTTGTGGTGAGCTTGTCAGACTTGGGGACCCAACGGCACTCTTCATGCTGCCTTTTGCGGTTCAGTTTGTGTGTTGTTTTCCTTAGGTTTGCTGAGCCTCCAGGTGTTGAATGGTGAGTAGTAACTGTGCGGTTTGGCCCTTCTCTTGGTCTTTACTCTTGTGCACAGAAACACAGAGTTCTTCGCTTTTTTTCTCAATGTTGGAAGAGCCTTTAGAAATCACCGAACCTCACACTCTCTCCATTGTCACTCCCATCATAAGTGTTTTAACATTTTTGTCATTCATCCAACAAATGCTGATGAATACTAGCTCCTCTGTGCCAAGTCCGGCGCTAGGCGCTGGGGAAGAGTAGGGAACCAAACAGACAGAAATCGGTGCCTGCATGAACTTGCATTTGAGTTGAGAGGAGAAAGAAAACAAAATAAGTATAGAAGTAGATGAAGCATCTGTTTGATGTGGATGAGTCCTATGGACGCGGTGGAGAGAGGGAGAGGGAGAGACAGCATGGGAGAGGTTGACAGGTTTTTAGAGGGCGCTGAGGGAAAGTGACATTTCACCAGGGAGCCAGGTTGACTGCCTCGCTGCACCAAGGGTGTTCCAGGCACAGGGAAGAGAATGGGCCAAGGCCATGAAGCAGGCGAGTGCCTGGGGACCGAGGGGCAGCGAGGAGGCCATAGCATCCCCTCTGCTCCCCATTGGAGGCACCTGGAGGCACTGCCTCCATCCCTTTCATGCTTCCTTAATGATTTCCTCTCTTCCTCCTTCTCCTTGTTCACCTTTAGAAGAAACAAGTGGTTGCAAGGAAGAAGGTAAGTTGTGGATCCGCACCTTTTCCTGCGTAGAGGACAGTGAGGTCCTTCAGCCCGGTTTATGACAAAGCCCCAAGAAGAGGAGACGCCTCCAGGTAACCACAGGCAGAGCGTTGGTGCCCACGAAGGTATCCGTGTGAAGGGCAGCTAGGGCCTTCGAGCTGCTCACTGGTGCCAAGGAGATCCAACACACTGAGGTAGGCGTGGGACCCATTCCTGCTCCCCTGGAAATGACACGTCAGTCCCGAGTGTCAGGGCTGCAAGGCCAAAAACCAAGAGAGAGGAAATCAAGCGATAAAAGCGAGCATCCACGTGGCCCAGATAGTGGCCAGAAGCACTTAAATAAAAGCCTACTGTTATTACGTTCACAAAAATAGATGAAGAATTTCACCAGAGAATTAGAATTTGTTTAAAAAAATAGTCAAATGGCAATTCCAGGATTGAAAATATGTAACCAAAATGACGAATTCAGTGGTTGGGCTTAACAGCAGAGAGCACAAAGAGCAGAGAGATTAAGGAGCTAGAAAACGGGTCAAGAGGAATTACTCAAAGTGAAGCACAGTGGATAAAATAATAGGAAATACAGAAGGAGGCACACAAAACTCAGGGGACACAGTGAAAAGCTGTGACAAGTGAAATGAGAATTTAAGAAGGAGAAGTGAGAGAAAATGAAACAAGTGATATGTCAAGAGTTAACGGATAAAAATTTTGCATATTGGTAAAAATAATCATCAAGCAACAGATTTTAAAAGTTCTGAGAGGGGCGCCTGGCCGGGCTCAGTCAGAAACGCATGCAATTCTTGATTTCAAGGTCATGAGTTCGAGTCCCACAGTGGGGGTAGAGAGTACTCAAAAAATCTTGGGCGCCTGGATTAGTCATTAAGCATCTGCCTTCGGCTCAGGTCATGGTCCCAGGGTCCTGGGATCGAGTCCCGCATTGGGCTCCCTGCTCGGTGGGAAGCCTGCTTCTCCCTCTTCCACTCGCCCTGCTTGTGTTCCCTCTCTCGCTGTGTCTCTCTCTGTTAAATAAAAAAATAAAATAATAAAATAAAATAAAAAATAAAATAAAATAAAATAAAATCTTTAAAAAAAAAAGTTCTGAGAACCCCAAGGGGAATGAATATAAAGAAAAGCACTTCTAGGAACACTGTCAAAAAATAGTTTAAAACCACAAAGAGAACATTTTTAACTCCCCGCTCCCATAAGAGACCTGTAAGAGAGAGACAGAGACAGAAAATTTGAAAGAAAAGTAAGGGGAATTCTATCATAAGAAGTATATCCCTGAGCTGCCAACTGAAAGGAAGCCAATGTAACTATTCTGACACCAGACATCACTGGTTCTGAGTCAAGAAGTGTTCCTAGAGATAAAGAGGGGCACTGAAATCGATAAAGAAGGGATGAATCCATCAGGAAAATAGGCGAATTCTCAATATGTTTTCACATAAAAGTGGCTGGTTTTTACATAAAAGGAAAACAGGCCAAATGACAAGAAGAAATAGATGCATCCATGATCATAGCAGGGGACTTTAACACCTCTCTCAACAGATGATAGGACAGGTAGATACAACTTCATACGGATGGTCTAAAGAGCAATGAGCCAACATGATGTAACTGACACAGAAAGAACTCTGAACCTGACCCCGATGGAATGCACAGCCTTTTCAACTGAATGTGGGATTATTTTTCTTATCAAAATTGGCTGCATGTTGGTTCATAAAACAAGCCTCAGTCAACTTCGGATTGAAGTCATTTATTTTTTATTATTATTTTTTAAAGATTTTATTTATTTGACAGAGAGAGAGAGAGAGAGAGCACAAGCAGGGGGAGAGGGAGAGGGAGAAGCAGACCTACCAAGCAGGAAGCTGGACAGGGGGCTGGATCCCAGGGATCATGACCCAAGAGGAAGGCAGATGCTTAACCGACTAAACCCAGGTGCCCCCAAGTTTAAGTCATTTAGAGGATGCTCTCTGAGTACAGTGGAGTAAGGCTGTAAATCAACACTCAAAGGGCGCCTGGGTGGCTCAGTTGGTTAAGCGACTGCCTTCAGCTCAGGTCATGATCCTGGAGTTCGTGGATTGAGTCCCGTGTCGGGCTCCCTGCTCAGCGGGGAGTCTGCTTCGCCCTCTGACCCTCCCCCCTCTCATGTGCTCTCTCTCTCTCAAATAAATAAATAAAATCTTAAAAAAAATCAACAAAGTATTAGGAAATCTAAACTTATCACTGAATAAATACACTTCTAAATAACCCACGGACCAAAGGAGAAATCACAAAATGAATTGAATTGAATGACAGTAAGGATATCGCTATCAATAAAAAGCCAAAGCTTTTTATTTTTTATAAAGATTTAATTTATTTTAGTGGGTTGCAGAGGGAAGGGGCAGAGGGAGATGGAGAGAATCTCAAGCAGACTCCCAGCTGAGCTTGGAGCCCGACACAGGGCTCGATCCCATGACCCTGAGATCATGACCTGAACCGAAATTGAGTTGGACACTTAACAAACTGAGCCACCAAGGCACCCCATAACTCTTTTTTAAAGGTTTTATTTAATTATTTGAGAGACAGAGAGTGCGTGCGCATATGTGTGCGAGTGCACACGCGAGTGGGAGAGGGGGAGAGAGAAGGACAAGTAGACTCCCTGATGCGCACAGAGCCCAACGCAATGAGGGGCTGGACATGGGGCTCGATCTCAGGTCCTGAGATCATGACCTGAGCCAAAGTCAGACACTAAACCGACTGAGCCACCCAGGTACCTGCCAAAGCTTTGCTTAGAGAGAAATTTATAATCTTAGATGTGTACCTTAAAAGACGGAAGGAAGGTGAAAACGCAGAAAGCCAATGATTTGAGGACCTACCTAAAGGATTTTTAAAAAAGAGAAACAGATTAAACCCAAGTAGAATGAAGGAAGTGATAAAAAGCCAATGAAAAAAACTGTACAATAGAAATCAACAGTGCTAACAACTGTTCCTCTGGAAAAGACTAATAAAAATGTAGTTCTCTAGCATTGCTGATGAGAAACAAACAAAAAAATACAGGAGAAACAAATCACCAAAACTAGGAGGTATTGATCCTGCAGGTATTGAAAGAATAATAAAGAGGATAGTTTGAAAAACCATATGCCAATAAAATGGCAAGTGTAGACAAAATGGACAAAATCCTAAGAAAACTCAAATGACCAAAAGTGAAACAAAAGAAGGTGGAATATCTGAATAATGCTTTGTCAAAGAAACTTAACCCATAATCAAGCAAACTTCCCACAAAAAAGGACAAACACACTCCCAGGGTCAGATGACTTGTATATAGAAGTTACCGCGTGCACACACTTATCATAAAACACTTATCGTAGAAATCCGAGGTCTTCCATATGTTATACTTTACTAGAATGTTTAGAACGAAAAGAGCAGGAAAGCACGCTGGGGAGGTGAAAGGCTGTTTTGCACACCATGTTGGGTCCGGAGCAGGGAGGTGACCCGGTCACGTCTGGGTGTTAGGCAGATTGTCCCGGCACCCTAGTGGCGGACGGCTTCAAGGGCCAAAGCATGGAGCGGGAGGGCAGCTGGGGAGGGGTGCCTTGGGGTGGGGTGGAGGGACGGGGAACCGGCAGCAGGAGGCCCAAATGTCCATTGGAGGGGCAGGTGGGGACGAGGTGTGCAGTTCAGGACGGGCAGGGATTTCCAGGCGGGAAGGGCATGCCCTCAGTGTGCATCATTCCCCCCCACCCCCGAGTTCTCCCAGAGAAACTCTCCCTGGCCACCACTGCCCCCAAGAAGTCGCCAGCCAAGCGGACCAGATGGAACATGCTGAAATGCGCCTACATGATGGTCACCTTCCTGTTCGTGTCCTACAACAAAGGAGACTGGGTAAGGAGGAGCCTGTCACTGAAGGGGGGTGGGGAGGGAGGAGGGGGTTGGACAGAGTGAGGGGCGGAAGGGGGTGAAGGAAGGGAGAGGAGGAAGAGAGCGAGGGAGCTGCCGAGGAGGTGAAGGGGTAGGAGGGAAGACCCCCCTCTGTAGATAGGACCGCCCCTCCCTCCCTCCTGCCCTCCCTTACCTCTTCCTTCCTCCCTCCTCCCCTCACTCCCTGCCTGTCTCTCTCCACCCAGCCCCCTCCTCCCTGAGCCTCCATCCTCAAGCTTGGATAGGAGCCACTCCCTTTTGTACTGACACAGCCCCAGATGTTCTTATGAAATACTACCCTTCATTCATTCTCTCCGTCTCTGGCTCTGCCTCTCTCTCCCTCTCCATGTAAGGTAGGTTCTTAAGGACCAAGTCACCTACCAAACAGTAAGCAGAGGTACGGGGGCAGAGGCGTGGATTATGACTTGTAAGAAATGGCCAGTAGTCATTCAGCTCATCGATTTATGGACATTCAAACATTTATATATATGCAGCAGGTTCCTTGCTCGACGCTGGGGACTACAAGACCCCACAAGGTCCCTGGACCCACAGAGCTCACACAGTAGGGACAGGACAGATGTGAAATGAGCCATGAGCTCCAGAAAAGGAAGCAACTCAGGGGACCTCTCGCAGCATGTAGGGCAGGGGGCGGCTTCACCTGAGAAGGCAGGGAGAGGTCAGAGAAGTGGCCTCTGCCTTGAGAAGTGCAGGGACAGCCCTTGTGAGCCAAGGGAACATGCAAGGCAAAGACCCTGAGGCCAAATGCACTGTGTGCCTTTGAGGGACCAAAGGAAGATCTGCAGGAGTTGAGAGGGGCAGAGGGAATCTAGATCCGAAAGGGGCCTCCTAGAGCATGGCAAGAAGGAAGCTTTTATTCTGAGTCTGGTGGACGGCCATCCGCAAGACTCTGATTTGAAGTAGGAAAGGGTCACTGTGGGTGCTGTGTGTGGCCGGTGACATGGCATCAGGGCAAGAGGGGAAGCAGAGAGACTGCGGGGAGGAGGCCCAGGTGGCCCAGGCAGGATGCCTGGTAACGGGAGTGGACATAAGGAGGACCTTGTAGCAGGTCTACAAGGAGAAGTGCTGACGGATTGGTTGTGAGATGGGGGGAAATGGGACCAGAGGGAGCCTCAGTTGGTTTGGGTCCTTGGTTAGACCAGTGGTTCTCCAGTGGGGGCAACCTTGCCGCCCAGAGGACGCAGCAGCATCTGGAGATACAGATGGTGGTCATGCCTGGGGACGGGAAACGACTGGCATTTAGTGGGTGGAGGCCAGGGGATGCTGAACATCCTACATTGCATAGGACAGCTGCCCCAACAAACAGTGATCGGGGTCCAAATGTCAGTAGTGACGAGGTTGAGAAACCCCACATTAGAGGATGATGCCACTTAGGGGTTTGGGGAGAATGTGGGAGTTGAGGCTGATGGATTAGCGGGCCCGCAAGAGGTCACAATGAGAGCAAAGGAGGAGAGAGGGGGGCAGGAAAGAAGGAAGGAAGGAGTGGGGAGAAGGGGAGGGAAGGACCTTGACCTGCCTCACCCCTACCATGTCTTTCTCTGTTTCCGGGTCGCTTCTTCATCAACCTCTCCAGTGTTATTGCCACAACTGTAACACAGAAGTGGACATCGGGTATGTTATGGCTACGAAGGGCACTCTGTCCCTGCTGGGGTGGGAGGGCTTGGTCCCAATTGCCTCAGGTTTGAGAAGGGAACCCCAGGTGGGTTAGGGAATGCCAATGGTGGAATCTCAGAGTTGTATTAACCAACAGTAACATTTAGCTCATTCACAGTGTTGGGCAAGCCTCACCACCCTCTAGCTACAAAACATTTTCATCAACCACTAGTCAACTCTCCACGTCTCTGTGGGTGAGCCTGTTCTGGATGTGCCACGGAAACAGAATCACACACCACGTGGCCTTTATGCCAGGCTTCATTCACCCAGCATCGTGTTTTCAAGGTCATCCAGGTGGTGGCAGGGGTCAGCTCTTTGTTCTAACGACTGTGGAGCGTTTCGTTGGAAGACTAGACCACATTTTGTTTATCCGTCCAACAGCTGACGGACCTTTGAGTTGTCTTCACCTTTCGGCTATTGTGATTAGTGCTGCTACGAACATCTGTGTACAGGTTTTTGTTTGAACACTTGTTTCCAGTCCTTTTGCGTACATAGCGAGCGGTGGAATTGCTGGGTCCTACGGTAATTCTGTCTAACTTTCTGAGGAACTACTCCAGGATGGATCCTTGATTAGTTAAAACAGTCAAATAGTGAATTTTATGTGATGTGGGTTTTACCTCAACTTTATTTATTTATTTAAAGATTTTATTTATTTGACAGAGAGAGAGAGGGAACACAAACAGGGGGAGTGGGAGAGGGAGAAACAGGCCTCCCGCAGAGCAGGGAGCCCGATGCGGGGCTCGATCCCAGGACCCTGGGATCATGACCTGAGCCGAAGGCAGACGCCCAACGACTAAGCCACCCAGGCGTCCCTTACTTCATCTTTAAAAACTGTAAAAAGTGGGGGAGGCCGGGGTCACCCTCAGGCTGTAGCTTGCAGACCCCTGCACCTCACTGTGAGACCCCCTGGGAGGAAGAAGTCCACCTGATCAATGCCGGGGACTCCAGTACACAGAGCCAACCTTACATATTCACTGCCTGCCCCAACCCTGCTGGGCTCCAGCGTGCCAGGCTGGAGATACAGTGAAGCTGGGGGCCACGGGGGGCTGGGGGTCGGAGGTACCGGGGGATGGAGGCGTGGAGGGTGGGGTGGCAGAGTGTATGGGGATGTTGGGGCCTGAGGCATGGAAGGGCGCCGGGGGGCCAGGGGCAGACAGGCTGGGGAGACCCAGGGGCTGCCGCGGGGGAGGTCCCTGCGGTCACCGAGCACACCCTCCAGGGGAAGGGTAACTGGGAAGCAGGGGAGTGTCCTGGAAGGACCAACTGGGAGGGGACATACGGAACTGGAGGGGTGGCCCCCTCCCACTGGGTGGCAAGAACCCCTGGCAGGAGGAGGCACCTGCTAGGAGGGACGGGAAGGAGCCCCCGCTCCGATCCAAGGCTGCGCATTCCTCGTGGTACAAAGCGAGGCACACCTACATTTCTCTGCTCTTTCTTCCCTTCCTTAGGACCGACCCCTGCTGTTCTTTCTAGCAACCCTGCTCCGTCTCAGCTCAGCCGTCGCCAGTCCTTCATCTGCCCTGAAGTCTCGCCTCCTGAGAAGCCTGCCAGCCCCAGATGACCAGTCTGGAGGGTAACAACCTGGGGTCCTCTGAGGATGACCCCTTTCTGCCCAGAGGCACTGCAGAAAGGTGTCCCTGAGGGTCCCAACAGGCCCAGGGCGAGTGAGTACCCCCAGGGGTCTCCCCACAACTGCTCTCCCTGGCCTTTCCCAACCTCCCCCACTGTTTCTCTAATTAAACCTACCCTAGTTGAAGCGGCTGAAGGCTCAGTTCTTCCATTCATGAGGGGGCAAGGATGCCAAGAATCATAGACACCAATTCTGGTGACAACCTATAAGGAGCTTCTGCTAGGCTGCCCACTTTATGGGTGAAGAAATTACAGCCCAGAGAGATTGCTGATTAGTCCAAGGTCACACAAATGACAGTGCTGAGGTTTGACCCAGGTTTGACTTATTACAAAGTCTATTTTTTTTTTTGTACAAAGATTTAGGTCTCCCAGCTGAGGAAATAGGGATCTGAAGATGTAGTGACCCCAAGACTAAACTGTGTCCCAGCTCTCCAGCCTGCGTGCTTCTTTGCCCATATCATATTTGAGGACGACTATGATCCTGGTTGAGAGCTTGGGCTCTAACAAGGAGACAGGTTTCTTGAGCATAAATTCTGGCTCCACCCCCTTACCGGATTGCAACTTCGGGGAAGTTATTGTCTATTAATGCCTCATTTTGTCATCTGTAAAATGGGGGTATTGACAGAGTAGAAGCCCTCCCATCATCATGATCAGGACCAGTCATTTGTTGGTTCATCAAAAAGTTCATTAAAATATGCAGTTGAGGGGGCGCCTGGGTGGCTCAGTCATTAGGCGTCTGCCTTTGGCTCAGGTCATGATCCCAGGGTCCTGGGATCGAGCCCCACATTGGGCTCCCTGCTCGGCGGGGAGCTGCTTCTCCCTCTCCCACTCCCCCTGCTGTGTTCCCTCTCTCGCTGTGTCTCTCTCTGTCAAATAAATAAATAAAATCTTAAAAAAAAAATAGGCAGTTGAAGGGGCGCCTGGGTGGCTCAGTCGGTTAAGTGTCTGCCTTCGGCTCAGGGTCCTGGGATCGAGCCCCACATTCCACATCAGGCTCCCTGCTCTGTGGGAAGTCTGTTTCTCCCTCTCCCTCTGCTGCTCCCCCTGCTTATGCTCTCTCTCTCTGTCAAATAAATAAATAAAATCTTTAAAAAAATAGGCAATTAAAAACACTTTAAGACATACAAATGTACGCTCATTTGGTCCAAAAGAACCAAGGTTTTGTTTTGTGTTTAGTATGGGTCTATGCACCTACAATTTTCAGTTTGTCCCTTCAAGCAGGAGCAAAAATACAAGCACTCTTGCAGAGCAACTGGAATGTAGAAATTTTCTAGAGAACAAGAGAAAAAAAAAACAAAAGAGTCCATTCTTACAGCTGTCTTGCCCATTCGAATTTAACATTTTTGTTGTTCTGTTTTTGTTTTTGTTTCCAGAGAGTTTGAGCAAGCACAAGTGGGGGGAGGGGCAGAGGGAGAGGAAGAGAATCTTAAGCAGGCTCCACACCCAGGGCAGAGCCCAACTCGGGCTCGATCTCATGACTCTGAGATCATGACCTGAGCCAACATCAAGAGTTGGACACTTTAAACGACTGAGCCACCCAGGCGCCCCATTCTGGTTTTTTTCTTTAAAGATTTTATTTTAAGTAATCTCTGCAATCACCTGGGGCTCAAACTCACAACCCTGATATCAAGAGTCACTTGCTGCACCAACTGAGCCAGCCAGACACCCACCTGCACGCATTTTAGAAAGCAGTATGCTTGCCATGGGCCTTCTGCAGCCCTGAACATCAGCCGGTGTGTCTGAGAGAGGGGATCGGGTACATCAGTTACCCCAGGAGTCACTCAACAGTGGAGTCTGCTTAAGAAAGATTCTACTGAACATACCTCATAGCGCTATTTTCAGGTTTAAGTGAAATAATACTTGTCAAACACAATGCCTGGCATTGTTCTCTGTAAATGTTGGTTACATTGTTACTTAGGGCAGGAGTGTCCAATCAAAATCTCACATGAGCCACAGTAATTTAAAACTTTCTAGGGGGCACATTAAAAAGTAAAATGATGTTGGTCAAAGGGTTCACACTTCCAATTATAAGATGAATAAGTTCTGGGACTCTAATGTACAGCATGGTGACAACAGTTACCAATACTGCATTACATACTTTAAGGTTGCTAAGAGAGTAGGTCTTAAAGGTCCTCACCACACACACACACACACACACACACACACACACACACACACACACAGAGGTAATTAATTATATGAGGTGATGGAGGTGGTAACTAATATGGTAATCATTTTCCAATATATACATGTATCAAATACTTATGTTGTACACGTTAAAACTATATAATGTTATATGTCAATTATATCTCAAAAAAGCTGGAAATATGTAAAAACAAACAGGTGAAATCAATATTAATTAATAATATATGATTTAGGGGCACCTGGGTGGCTCAGTCGTTAAGCGTCTGCCTTCGGCTCAGGTCATGGTCCCGGGGTCCTGGGATCGAGCCCCGCATCGGGCTCCCTGCTCCACGGGAAGCCTGCTTCTCCCTCTCCCACTCCCCCTGCTTGTGTTCCCTCTCTCGCTGTGTCTCTCTCTGTCAAATAAATAAATAAAATCTTTAAAAAAATAATATATGATTTAACTCAATATATCCAAAATATCATTTTAACATGTAACAGATAAAACCATTATTACTGCTTTATTTTATATCCTTCTTTTTTGTATTAAGTCTGAAATCTGGTATGCATTTTTCACTTACAGCACTTAACTTGAATGCTAATTTTTCACCAGACATCACTGATCTGTGATTAGATTTCATAAAACCTAGTTGCAAAAGTAGATTCACATATCCAGATTGTTCTAAACACGCTTAAAAGCTGTCCAATAATTGACTCAACTAGCAATGTTAAATGTTTAGGTAAAATTAAATTAAAAAGTCAGTTTCTATTCATAGGCCAAGTGTAGTCACGAGCAAGCATTGAAGGACATTTTGCAGAACACTTGGCTAGTACCCTTCAAGACCATCAAGGTCACTGAAAACAAGGAAAGTCTGAGAAAAGGTTGTGGATCAGAGGAAGCTGGGGGTTACCTAGCAACTCAATGGCATGTGGTTCCTAATAGAAAAGGACCCCGGAGGAGAGAGTAGGACCACGTGAATGGGCTGGAGTTCATTGAATAGCATTGCTCTGATGTGAAAGATTTGTGTTTCCACAAATGTGCTGGGGTCCTGAGAGGTTAACAGCAGGGGAACCTGGGGGTGGGGGGCATGTGGGCACCCTCTAACTGCAACTTGTCTCTAAACGAAAAATTATCGCCAAATAAAGAAGTTTAAAATGAAAATATCCATGGGGTGTATGGGTGATGGACGTTGAGGAGGGTAGGTGCTATGGTGAGCGCTGTGAATTGTTGTTGACTGATGAATCACAGACCTGTATCCCTGAAACAAATAATACATTATATGTTAATAAAAGGAAGGAAAAAAAAGAAAATATCCAATTCTTCAGTTGCACTTACTTTGATGAGCTCTGAGTTTCCTCAAAGCGCAAAATGATGGGGATGGACTTCCAATGCTCGCTTCTGGTCCAAGCGCAGGCCCTAGCTCCGCCCTCACCCCGGCTCCTCCCAGGGGCCAACCCCACGCCTCCCGTCCCGGGCGCATGCGCCCACCGCCTTCTCGCAGGTCTCCGCGCGTGACGTCAGCACGCAAGAGGCCGACCGCAAGCCGGAGGTGTTACCATAGTGACCGCGGGCCCGCTCAGCGACGCCCACAGTGAGGGCCGAGCCCCTCACACCCGACCCCGGGTCGGCCCCTGTGGCAGGACCTGGCAAGCGGAGCCGGCGAAAATAAGCAGGAACGCCTGCGTTGGAGACCTTTCTCATTCCCAGGCACTTCCCGTTTCTCTGCCCAGAAGTTTCTGGGCGTCTCTTGGGCCGTCGGTCTGCGGTTACCCTGGAGACAGCGGGACGCCGGAAGCCTGACAACGAGGCGGGGCCGGGCTGGAAGGAAGATTCCGATTGGTAGAGATGCCGCACGCCGGCTTTGAGCGACAGATCGCGGGCGCACATGCGCATTGAATTAGTCCTGCGGGCGTTCTCGGTCAGGGATGTCCGGGGGTCCGCAAGCCTCGGTCGCCCGGGCGCTGTCGCAGGTCGCGCTGGTGGAGGGACGCCGAGTCTGCGCCGGCGAGCCGCTCCCGGCCTCGTTCTCGAGGCCCGAAGTGTGGGCTTCGAAGGAGTGCCTCGGGAGGTGAGTGCCGTTCCCACGCCCGGGTCTCCGAGTGGGATTCCCAAAGCTCCTGGTCACAGCCCCCGCTCCCCGCATGTGACGTCATAGTTCCCCACGGCGGGGAGAGGGCCAATTTGAGAGGTCGTGGATTCGGAGCCGCGCCCCACCCTGTAACCCCTCCCACCCCCCCGCCACGGGAAGTTTGGGCTGGAACCCTTTCATCCTCTGCGGGCTCGGTTTCCCCTTTTGTGAAGGGATCTTTGAAGCTCCTCTGCCCCTTACCAGCTCTGAGACCCCGGGCGAGGTGCACACATTCGATGCCTCGGTTTACCCATCTAAATTGGGGCTGATGATAGAATTTGAGTCTCTAATGGAACCTTAGGACGGTGCCCCGCACACAGTGACCTCTCAGGTGTTAGTGTCTGATTGTCATCATAATCTTTTGTCTGGGGATTTGGACAAGTTCTTTCCTTACCCTGGGGTCTCAGTGTGTTAATCTGAGAAATGGACCTGGTGGGCTTTGTGCGCGCTAATCCTGCCTCTCAACACACAGCCAATGACTGTTCTCCCTGCGGGATGCTGTAGGGTTTGGTAGTAAGACACTGGGATTGCAAAAGTCTGCCCTTGTCATGTCCGCTGCCGGTTGACCCTGGTCAGTTCTCATCCTTGAGGAGCTCTGAATTTCCTCAAGTGGAAAATGATGGGGATGGACTTCCGATTCTAGCTCCTGGTCCAAGCGCTGCCCCGAACTGTGCTTGGGTAAGCCGTCTTGTCCGTCTTTGCACCCAGGAGGTGCTCAGTTGACTGGGAGGTCACTTTCAGTTGCAGTCAGATCTGGTGCCCTTGCCCTCACCCCACCGTACCCTCCCTTTGTAGTATCGAGCATCTTTTTCTTAGTCTCAGATGTGCCTTCATTGCTTATTAGTATTTGTTTTTTTAAAGTTGTCTAGCAAAAAA